CATCCTGACTTCAAAACTAATGAAGTGATGATAAGAAGGTCTAACATTATGGAGAAAAGTTAGATGAAGTAACATTTGGCACAACTAGACACGTTTCCTCTGCCAAAAGTGCCGGAATTACTCTGTCACGGCCGAGTTTTTATTCTATTGTTGTGTCGCTTGTTTTCAAAGGGAAATGTCTGGCGAAAATATTCCTGTGTTTGTATGAATAATAGAACAAAAGTAGGTACCTAGTGATAAAATTGATAAATCAGAGTATTGATATGTAACGATTAGATTGTCTATTCTCAAATGTTTCCGCACAATCATTTTCAATTGGTCTTCAAAAGTACCTTCCGTTTTATTGATAAAGAACACATGCAATATCTTTGTTTACATAACAACAAATAAAGAAACCTTACCCTAGATCGCCTTTGAACTTGATCATCTCCGGGTATCGTCAAGAAATTTCCGCTCATTTTCACTTTGATAAAATAAAACACTCTTTATAAGAATTAGCAAAAAACAACACACTTTGTTTTTGTAACGGTTTTATAAATAGCGCGGTATTTGAAAATTGGAACGTGCGCACGCGACTGCGTTCTGTCTTCGAATGAAGTATCAAGAGTTTATGAATGGGTGACGTTTTAAATAGTTCCCCCCTCTTGGGTGTAGTGACGTCAGGAATCGTAGCCGGGTCGTAAGTCTGCGTTCCGATCGGATTCCTACCTAAATAGCCCGAAAGATCAGCTGTGTGGGTTCTACATGGAAATATTCAACTACCGACATACTTACATACATTGTTACGGACGTCATTGAGAAAATTCTTCGATACTAATGCAGTTTTTTAAGGAAAAGTCGTAAAATATCGAAAGTTTATCGATAATTTGTGTTGAATGAATGGACGCAAATAAATCTGCGGAGGTAGGTTACTATAAGTTAATGTTCGTGAGCACTTTTTTAAATTAATTTATTTCATTGACGGCTTCGTATAAATCTTGCGTTTAATGTACCTGTTTGAAATGTTCGGAATTGCAATACAATTACGATAATTCCAGATGGTTAGTGCTTTGTTGATAGACAAACTGTTTGTTTGTCGAATAAAACAGACATCCTAAATATTCTTAAAACGTAATCGGACATAATACATTAAATTGTAGTGTACTTATTTGAAAATTACTGCTAGATTTACAACGGCTTTTATTTACACTTTTTAAGTGCATAATGTATTACGTCTTAAAGTAGAAGCCAGGTAAACACATTTACACGGGCTTTTATATCTCCAACGGGGTAGGCAGACGCGTACGTAGCTAATACGTACGGTAAACAATCTTGGTATAATAGGTAAGCTGCGCTTAATATTTAACTAAAAGTGACAACCCTGAGACAGTAGGCAATTATATCGCGGATTGGGAAGAAGATAGCCTATTTCCCTTTTCTTTATACTATGGTAACACAATGAAAAACCCATCCGTCACTAGTGGATAGGTCTATGGTCATAGTTTCAATTTTAGATTTATTTGAGGGATTGAATTCAATACAAATAATTATAAAAAAGTTTAAGTAAAAAGCGAGCATAGCTGTTAATATCGATTACGATTTGTACAAATTCTTATTAGATAAATAAGATTGATTCACATTTCTTTAGCAATCTAATTTTTTGTACATTTTACATTATTGCATTCGATCATACATTTAACAAACACAATGAATGTCAACAATAACAATTGTGAGAGAAAATGAATACTCGTTTATGTGTCAGTCGAGGTAAATAATACTTTGGTACATAAGGTTACTATGTCGTTACCTTCTGTTCTTCTTTTGACTTTGAACTATATGTTTGAGAAGAGACAATGACCATGAAAACAAAAACTTTTAGTCATCATTTAATGACATATGTTGCAAGTTGTTTGAAGAAATTTAATCTGTATTGTTGTCATTGCGTAGACGATGTGAAGATTAAAATTCTTTTATGATATTAAATTACTGTGCTTCTTGGAAATAATAATGCGAATACTCTTTGCTTACCCCCAGACCCAACGTTTCTACCTATATATTTCTCTTTGTTTTATTTTTTCTTTAAGAAACGTTGCTACACACTAATACTTTCTCCTGTATCGTAGGTGCATTTACAAACATACAAAATCACATACACATGACACTCGGACCAGAAATAACAATTTGTAGATCACAGAAAGAGTTGTTATATGCGGGATCGAAGCCGCTACACCTTGCGTGGCAACCGGTTGCCCAGCTACACGATAACCGTGCAGTCGAAATATTGTCAGATAAATAGAGCACAGGGATAATCGACTTCAATTACACGAACATAAAAAAGAAAAACTGCAGAGATAAGTGGGTGTATCTACATTATTTTCAACCTACCTCTTCTTAGAAATCAGTAATGATAAATTTATTATGTTGCATTAAAAATAAAAAACTCGGCGACAAATTAACAGCTGTTTTGACTCCAGACAGTTTGAATCATTGTTGAAAACAAATTATTGGAGTGATCACGAGATTTTTTGAATGATCTGCCCCCACACTTCCTGTGGATGAGAAGGTTAATCAAAATGAGAGGTCAGTGAGTAATGTGTATCTCGAATTAGTCTCTGTATATTATCCTGTAGATAGTATAGTTTATATCGAATGAATGAAACATAATGGTAGTCCCTCACTACTGCTGTTATACATGTTAACGACTTCAGATTAAATAAAATTGGAATTTGTTTTTAGCTTACTCACGTAACTGTTTGACGAGAAACTCGACTAGTTTCGCCGCGGTGACCGTCGCGGGTCACGGAATGCTGCTCATGAATATGAACCTCTAGCATGGCTTGAAACTAGTCGAGTTCCTCGTCAAACATTTACTTGAGTAAGTCAAAAACATAATAATTGACGTTTTAACCATTAATGTGGAAGCACTATCAAATCACAATTGTTTGTTATTATTCAAGAGCTTAGGTGTGAAGACTTAACTTTGTTCGTTGTACATGCAGCTTTATCAGCGCTGGTAAAGCTCAAATCTGGTTGAGCAATTGAGCATCAATAGTCGACCGTATATATCTGTTTATATTTTATAAAACCTATTATAAGTTTTTACAAATATAGAAATAACTTTCGTGAGACATACTAAATAAATTATTATGTTTTCGAAGCAGCAGCGCGACAGTCGCCGCGTCGCAGGTCGCGCTGACCTAAATTCTGCTCATGAATATGAGCCTCTAGTATGGCTTGAAACTACTCGAGTTCCTCGTCAAATAATTACGTGAGTAAGCCGAAAACATAATAATTTATTGAATATAGAAATATACATTTCAGTTCTTTCATCATATTTTGTTATTATCCTCTCCAAAACGATCATCTGTAAGTAAGATATATAGATAGGTAATCTATATAGTAAGATAAAATTAAATGAATCATTCACCACATCTCATGTCATGATGAGATTTGGATAAATGACTCACATTTATTGATAACCATAATATTATTATCGTTAAAGTATTTACTATAACGTTTTGCCGAGTTTCATTGATTCATTGGCCGATTGATTGTCACGTGGTAGTGTTACAGTATTTCATACAATATAGCGATCAGCCAAAAAATTATTAAATGTTCCTAATCACCACTTTAAGACGCCCACTTCTCATGCATGAGGATTCCTAATCACCACTTTAAGCATGAGGATGCATGCATGAGGATTCCTAATCACCACTTTAACCGCTACGGAGTTTTTTTAGGATTATCCAGTAAACAAGCCAACGGATCTCTTGACTATAAGCAAGCGCCGCCCAAAAACACCCGAAATACTAGAGGTGTTACAAGTGCATTGCTAGCCTTTTGGGGGTTAGAAATTTAAGGATTATTGGGGATTCGGAGTTTGAGGAGATTGGGCCTTCCCAATATCCTCAAAAACATAATTGGTTAACCTTACATACGCAACAAAACATAACGCAAACATTGTTTCACGTCGGTTACCTTTGAGGCCATAGTATCACTCCGGTCGAGCCAGCCTATTTGGGCTAAAGCATAGCTCTCTCACATCGAAAAGTCAAGTGAAACTATTTGCCAGGTTTTGTTTCCCAAAGGATATTAACTAGATGTCTTTAAAGCTCAAGCTAATAGGTTGCTTTTGGGCATGCTCCATCGCAGGCTACATAGTGGCTTACCACCAGGAAAGATAGAGGCATATTGCAAGTTAATATAGTCCATATCAGCATTGTGGATCCCACGAAAAATTAAGACCGGTCGTTTGATCGGCCACTGCAGATAATGTGACTTTTAACATAAGGAATAGAAATGGACTTTTCAGAAATATTAACAACAAATAGTATAGTATAGTAAACTATTATGGAGGAAAAATTTACATTCACACCTGCGTCATTCAATATTATACGAAGACTAAGATGATGAATTATTATTATCTTTATAATTTTGTAACGTTTCCTCTGAAAGCAAACAGTCACCCACGCTTCCATTGATGCAATAATACGGCCATCTTAATTTAAACCAAATATTTATCCGAGTTCTATTCTAGTAAACCTATTATAAGTAAGTCCGGAAAACGTGAAGGAAATTTTTGCGATAAATAAATATTATGATGATGGTCAGAGCCATTTATAAGTGTTTATTGAAATTTATTTCAAAATAGTTCCTTGTGAGAAGGTTTATAACTTTTAAGAAAAGAAATATTGCAAGTTTATATTTTACAATTGCGTTTAATTTTGAATTAGTTAACTATTTCTTTATACATGCATGTTGAATGGTATGGAAGCTAAAAAGTATACAAAGATCATAGTGGGTGTTACTGATTAGTTTCTGCTACTCCAGGCCGGTTGCCAGGGCTCCGGTTCGAAGTACCGAAGTAGGAACGGGGTGGTTTTTAAACAAAAGGAGTCTGACACTCCCTCTCGCCTCACCCGGGCGGGTAAAGTCATTGTATGATTATCCCCACTCAAAAAAAAGGCCCTATGGATCGATGCATCAGTATTTATATACGCGTAGACGCTATATAGGTATTTGCTTCCTTAAGTTCATAAATAAATAGATTATAACCTCCTTCTTGGAATTAACAAAACCTAAATCTTTCGTTATCACCAAGGCGCAATCACAGATTGTGTCTAGGAATTCATGTTACTCCTACAGACTAGAAAACTGATTTATGAATTACGCAATCATAAATAAATTCTCCGAAACATATCATAAAGAAAAATTTCACGATCCAGTGAACATGGACAGCAATAATAAAATACAAAACAAAATTTATTTGAAATACGGATATTTATTTATTTTTTCATAAAAATTCTAAATTCAATAATGTGTTTAAACATGTAACATTTACATATATGCATTTATACAAAGATGTATGCAATGTTAGTGACATTTTAATACTAAAATTGGAGCGTAACAGACTTCCGATGCCGATGAACGTGACAATCACATAATTATTACACTTACAAAATAATATTTACCAAGTATTGTCAAATGTAATGTTATATAAGGTTTATTGTGTCAATACGAATTGTTAGTTAATATATTTGATGAGAATATTATGAATACTGTGCGCTTTTCTTTTATACTAGCTCGAATCGTCATATCTTCATAAACAGTTATTGATAACAGATTTTTTTTTATTATTACATATAATATTATCTTTTTTATTAAGTACACGAAAAGTAATACTGATATATTTTGGTTTATGTAGATATCACACGATCCCATCAATATAGTAGCTTCCCTTTACGTTCGAGTTGCAACTATTTACAAATGTATGACCAATAATAATGATTCTGTTATAATGAAATTGTTATTGAACATATCATAACCAACCAATAATTATTATTTTTGTGGGCATCGCTGTTTTTTCCAAAATATATAGTTGGAAAAGCTCTATTCAACGCAGTAATGCACATATAAATTGTTTATTTCTATTTTATTGTGGACAAAGAATGTTATAAATCTAATTCAATTGTATTATTTCAATTATTATTGCGCACATTAATACATTGAATAGATTATTACTACATTTATACTTGTGATGTTAAATAACAAAATAAATATTGTAATAATTATTGTTGTTTTCTATTACGCTATAGTTATACAGATTCAGTCAACTCGGAAATGTAAATTAGAAATAAAGGTATTTTCTATATATTATAATAAGACGAGTAAATATATAATTAATTAATATATATTATTGAGATTTGGACTAGACAAACCACATTCTCTATCTACAGATATGTAATCCATGATAAATGCTAAGATTTAGAAAATCTATGTCCCGTGTCGGTTAGTGATGTGCCTATCTACACACCGTGTGCATTTTCAACGTCATCAAATATCTATTACTGGTAGAATTCTTAAAGGACATTAAAATTTTCAGAAAATTCCATTAAAAACTATACAACTGTCAAAAATAGAGGTTACAAAAAGGAAAATCCGTTATTTATAAAAGTTTAGGAATGGATTAAGAAAATAAAGTTATCAGAGGTGCACTTAATAGAATCATTATAATAATGTTATTATTAAATTAATGCTATTGAAAATGTACACATTATTAAAATGTTATTATTTATGTGACGACTTTCAAACGTGTTTTGAGTTTTGGACTGTGATATTTTTTATTATTATTATTATATTTTTATAATAATTATTATGTTAATAAATCAACGAGCCGTTATTGTTATTCGCCGTAATATAGCCTTAACAAATTATTTTTGAGCACTAGGGCCTTAACATGGAAGGTATTTACTTTCATTATAAACAACAAAATATTCAATAAAATAGTTGTATGATTAACATAAATAAAATTCTCTATATATAACAAATACGGTGTGAAATGTTAACCGCTGTTATATTTCTGTACGTAACATAAAATTTATTATTATTAACAATATAACATCGGATTTATTAAACAGATAAACACGACAATTATGATGTTACGTCATCTTTACAACAATATCACAATTTTCAATAATATACAAAAAGATATTGGAGATTATAGATTATACTTCAAACAGGCCAAGCTTATTAAAGTAATAGCAAATACTGTGATATACACATTTAACATATACTTATTGTTATGTACATACATATCTGTTCATATAGTGGATCACATACATATAATATAGGTCACTCAAAACGGGACACGTAAAATAATTATATATTATTTTTTTAAAGATGACAATATACCGCACATTTTTATCCATTTTGTTACGCGATACTTTTTGAAGTAACATTTATTAATACATTTAACGGACAAGTCTATAACATTCATAGAATACACAGATATTTCAACACCAATATTATTTTGTCAGATTTATATGACGACGTACAAAGTAAATCAAAACACACGATTTCCTCTGTAGATTGACTATATTTATCGCGGAAGCCATTAGTATTAAACGTTGCGTTTGAATAAAGATATATGCTTCAAGATAACTTTATATCTAATTCTATATTTAAGTACAGACGTCAAAAAGCATCGCGTAAAGGATTTCAAGAACGAACGACGGCTATGACTATATTATTAATTCCATTTTATATAACACTCATCACCTAAACGAACATGCTTTATAATCTTCGCATTATTCTATACACCACGCATTTACTGAAAGGAAAATATAAACGCATACCTCTTAGCACTCAGGAAATATCCTCAACACTTTTACACATTACCGACTCGACAGAAGCATTGAAACCAATAAAAGGAAATAATTTACATAAGGCCATATATCTTACTGTACACGTATAACGAGTAGATGATTAATTAGATAAATAATTATGTTGCATTTTTAATATTAATGTTTAAGGATTAATTCATCCGTATTTACGACAGTTTGGTCCATATAAATATTATTACATAAATCGTGGGTCAACGATGCGTTCGCGAATTTAGGTACCCAGCGAGAGAAGTTGGGCTAATTGATTTAGGAAAGAACACTTCGCGACTGAGCAATAAAGAATTAAAAGAGCGAAGTTAATAAAATTATGGAGCGCTAAGGGCTTGTTATCGTCATATAATGGAAGTTTTAAGTGTCTCTTGGATAGGAAAGTGTATGTAGCTGGATGCCTAAGTCGCGTCCGCCGCGGCGCCCGGCCGCCTACGGTCAGTCTTTTCGGCTAATGTTTACGAATTTGTGCAAAATATTCTACTATCCGCATAACTTAACAAAGATAAATTTTATTTACAAAACACATCTCCGTCGAGATTGTACGAAACAAAACGAACGAGCACTGACCGGGAGCCGCCAGAGCGCCGATGTCACTTCCAAACTCCGTTGCAGTGGCTTCGTCTCTTTCGTACGCATCGTGCAGAACATGATTCTGTCTCGTTTGCGCACATTAAACTGTTTTGAAATACTAAGGGACATCACAACCGGATCTATCAGTCCAGTCGCAGTCTTGGAGTTGGTAGGTTGTGTAGAATGTTGTGGCACGTGGGGTTTGTTTAAGTGGTTCACGCTGGACCTGGCGCACCAGCAGGTGCCTCGGTCCTCATTTCTGACTTGAGCTTGACGAACTCCCGAGCGACTTCATCATTGTGCCTTTGAGAAAGTATTCTTAGTATCGTCCAGCCAGTCTCGTCCATTTTGATTCGGGTGCCGAGAGGCAACCAGCACGCGATGGCACCCTGAAAATTAGTAAGTAACAGTGAACGATTTTTCATCTCGAATATAAACGTTAATATGTATTACCATCAAATCATATCTGATTAAAGACATAGCAACTATACCTGTTCAACAATTTCGGTCATGCGCATGATAGCGACGCCAACCAGCCTGTCTTCGCGTGCGAAGCAGTAGTCACGAACACACACGTGCAGCTCGAACAGGTCCAGCTGCTCCGTGTTGCTCACCATGCTGGAAATTATGGAAACACCATATTTTTGGATAATAAATGGGAGTAAACCATCATACATTCTTATTCGGACTGTATGTAAAAAAATGACTTTCTAAAATGTTGGAACCAGTTTCCGACCATTATTGGCACTTATACTCACAAATGGAAGGTCTCGTTGAATTTGGGACTCCAGTTGTTACTCTTGGACTTGGTGGCGAATTTCCTCTTCTTCTCCGCGAGGTGTGGACCGATCAGATTGACCTCGATGAACGGACGGAACATACCGCTTTGGATCACCCACTTCAGATCGTTTGCTGCTACCACTGTAAGTGAAATTGTAGAATAATTAGTATCACATCGTATCAATTATCATAAGTTAAAAATTCTTATAAAGTACACTAAAAAAAGAACTAGTTAACTCCCTTACCTTTTACGGTGATCTTATGTTCTCCAGTGTTGGGATGAGTGAACAGATCCACTTGCAGTGACACCTCACCCACGCTTCCCTCTTCCACGACTGCAGCGTCTCAAGAATTCAGAACATTAAAATGTAGCAGATCATTGGTTAACAGACGTGCTTTAGAATCATGTGTGATAGGAAAAAATAAAAGAACGATATTTGTACTCGAAACAGTTATGATAAATCTACGAAGCAGATGAAAAGAGTATAGATAAATCAGGGATTTAAAATTTCCATGTTTCAATCGTAGAAAGGGTGCAATGCATAAAAACTGAAAATACGGTATTTTATTCTATTACCTTGATTCTGCTGACAGCTAACAAAGGTCCTGATAAGCGTATCAGTAGTTTGTGTATACAAGCTGAGAGCATATCTCAAGGACTGCAGTTCTGGACTCTTTTCTAGGAAGGCTTTCTTGAGTCCATTGCCTCCTGCGTGGAAGTATAGCTTGATGGTGTCCAAAGCTGCGTCCAGTACTCCACACTGTTTCGGTGTCAAACTCTTTTCCGCTGACAGATGCTGTTGAAAAAAATGATTATATTAAGATATCATATATTATATTCTTGTATATTCACTGTGCAGTTTATGTTTCTGTTTATCATAATATTGCGTCTCTTGCCAACTTCTCAAGATAAAATTACTGGTTCATTGTTATATCACACAATAATTAGATTCGCAATTTCTTGCTATATTGCTGAACGAACTGATGACATACTGTTCACACAATTTTACTAACAACAATAAGGATTAACTCTAGGATATTATGAAAATAAATTTGTTCCCATATGAATCAGATAATTTTTGTACTATCAGTTTTGTGATTTACCTCTTTGGATATATCCATAACGCCGGATAGTGCATGCTTGACGTCCTGTTTGCCCACTGTGCTCTTGAATAATTGGGTCATGTCTTCGATCTTTGCATTCGCTGCCAAGTTCTTAGCGTTGTTCGTCAAGTTCTTCAACATCATCTACATTAAAAGACAAAAGCATATATGAATTAATGTTCCTTGAAAATAAAATATTTTTAATACTATTTTGTTAACATTAAATATAATAAAATAAAAACTGCGTTTAAAAAACCGACTTCAAAAAACCAAAAACTAATAACAAACAAAAAGTCTAAACTAAAAAGCAAAAAATAACTATTATTAGTACTCATAGGTTACCCACCCACTGATAGGTAAGAAGTCGGTGCCATAAGTTCCATACAAAATTATTCATTAAAACCTTAATAGGTACCTAATTCACAATTTTGTGGACAGATATATCATTATGATATGAGCTTATGGCACCGACTTCTAACCTATCAGTGGGTGGGTAACCTATGAGTACTAATAATAGTTATTTTTTGCTTTTTAGTTTAGACTTTTTGTTTGTTATTAGTTTTTGGTTTTTTGAAGTCGGTTTTTTAAACGCAGTTTTTATTTTATTATTTTATCATTTTCAGTGTAAAGCTACATATACCCGTTTTGTTAGTTATAATCTACATAGGTGCAAAGTTCTAATCAATACAAATTATACAAGCCTAAACACAAGGTAGTTACAGTATACCGTTGAGGAGTTCCCTTACCAATTACACTTCTTCATCATCAGACCCTTAATGACAGCCCTACTCTATCTAGGTTTAAAGTCCTCATCAATACAAATTAATCAAGCCCAAACACAAGGTAGTTACTGTATACCGTTGAGGAGTTCCCTCGACTGTCTATCGGCTCCATCATCAGGTCGACTCCAGACCCTTATCAAATTGTAGTGTTTAAAAATCCTAATTGAAAAACATAATAGACGCATCACTCGCCCATATAATTTTCGAAAGTTCCCCTCGGTTTCCCTAGGATCCCATCATCAGATCCTGACCTCATGGAAATGGGACCAACTTGGGAGTATACCCTTTCCAACAAAACAAAAATTTTGCAAATCGCTTCACGCATCTCAAAGTTATGCGCGTACATACATACAAAAAAAAAAAAAAAAGCAACATACCGGCCGAACGTATAACCTCCTCCTTTTTTGAAGTCGGTTAAAAACAGGGGCGGGTTATGGGATTTTTGAAATTTTGTAGTTTTAAAAGCCCTTGAACCCTTCACATAATATTATAACATATTTCATTGGGTCTCACCGTCTTATCAGTCATAGGCGGGAGCACAACAGTCTTTTCTAATATCTTCATCACAATCTTCCACAATTCCTTTAGTAGTCGTTTAAGAACAGTCTTTTCACAGGATTCCGCGTACATTGTGAGAGAGCCATCCTGAAAACAAAAATAAAAATTAGTTAGTAGTAATTTAATTCGTTACAACTATTACCGTTAATAAAAATAGGAATGCCGCAAGGTAGCATTTTAGGTCCTTTTTACATTCATTGTCACAATTTCAGTCGTTTTCATACACAATACTAATAATTCTTTAATAAGTGTAATTCCTTACCAAAATATCCATGAGTGGACGTAAAACTTCATCAGCCTCGTGGTGTACGGGAGGCTGTTGTTGACCAGGGGCTGCGCCGCCTCCAACCTTCTGCAGTAATTCTCCTAACTCCTTCACACTGGCTGTGATGCGTGTCTCCAAGCTAAAAATATAATCAATAGGTGTTACATTCGGCCTTTTATTGGGGGTGGATTATCTTATAAAATTTACTAGTCTGAATTAATTATATATAACTGCTATATGTGTAACTTTAACGTGGTAACTCGACTAGTTTCAAATCACACAAGAGACTCATATTCATGAATCACCACGTTGAATGATAGTAAGCTGTTTACATTCACACGTCTCACGAGAACTGTAATACAAAAATATGTTTGCATTACAGTCTCTGCTTGTATAAGTTATAGGGTATCTAGCCTTTAGTACGACCTATTCTAGACTGTATTTTAATTAGACTTTACTAACAACAGCTGATTTGGTACGTTACCTGTTAGCAAACATAGACGCCAGATCATCTAGCGTCCCGTTGAGCCTGTTCTGTAGATCCTTCAGAATGTCAGCAGCGTCTCGCTCCAATTTGGGACCTCCCATAGATTCGAACATCTTTTCTAATTGTACCCTCAGCTGTTGGATGTTGTTCATCAAGATGCACGCCTGAAATAGAATAGAATTGTTATTGATGTGTGTAATCACTGTAGTGCGAGATTGTATCAAAGTCAAGTCTCCTTCATTACTTTGGATTTTGGCATCCATATTTGGATCATGTTAAACTAGCATGGTCAGAAGTAGGTATTGGCTTTGTCTTATTTGTCCCAAAATTCCGAAAACTATTTACTCCTTCTCAATTTATAAAGTAAAACAATTGTAATTGCAATAACTGTAACATACCACTCGTTCCTCCTTTAGGTGTTCAGGGAATTCCTTCTTCACAATGTCGGCGTAAGCAACAAGGACCTTGACGATGGTTTTTGCGAACCTCTTCATGTATCGCTTCCAGATCTCAGGGTCTGGGCACTCGAGCTTGGAGACCACGTCGAAGCATTGTGTTAGTTGTGTGAACACGTCTACCACTGAGCAACTGAATAGGGCATGCTCGCTTGATTGTTGGAACTGGAATTAAATTATTTTTTTATAGATTACGTTTATATGAAGGTAAGTTGGAAATAGTAAACTATATGTTTATGTGGTGTACAAAAGCATTAAAAATACTTTTATCAAAACTTCACGTGGACCAACAATATTCAATATCAGTCAAAGATATAAATGACTTATTTGCTCAGAATTTGTTATATTCAATATCAAGTTGTCTTCTTATAATATACAATTGGATAAAATCAGTACACTAATAGGTATTTAACTTACGCCATCCTTCTTATCCCTGTTGAATGCTCCGTTGAGATATTCCAAAGATACATCATCGTTTTCATTAAGCCACTGCATCACGAAAGGTTCGAACCATGCTGGGTACTCTGGCACAGCTCCGCAATATGGCGGCACGTCTTTCACGTAATTTGTGTGAAGCCATTTTACCTGTTGAAAAGTATTTATATAGTAGAAATGATTCTATCTTCTTGTGTATCGAGCGATATAGCCGACAACTTGGTAAGTATACAATTTCAAAATATTGTAAAACATTGGAATTATTAGAGGTCATTTTACTGAAATCATAATTTTACTTACCTTAAAGTGTAAGTTCATGTAAGCTGAAGACTTGCAAAGCCGATGCTGTTCATGTTCTTCTAATGCATACTTCATGTCCACAGCGAATAAGGACCACATCGTTGCTGCTGATAACTGTAAATAGAGATAAGAGTATTAGTGTTATAAACGCTTTTTCATTATTTCTTTCTTTATTGCATTGCTTTGCATAGGACTTTATACAGACAGGAAAGCAATGAGCATTGATTTTAGTTTTCTCAATATTTATTATCATGTGATGCCTCTTGTAAATTGACATTCACACTAAACAAAAAGAAAACAAGAGGATTGCAGTTCATACCTGACCAATATTCAATTCTTGGGGGAACTGGTTGAGAACAGGTGCGTAACTATTCCTATCTTCCTCTATCACAGATACGATGAGAGCAATCAGTTTGTGCCAGAAATCCACAGATTCCAGCTGAGGACCGTGGTCTGCAGGATCACGCTTCGCTTCATTTGGATCCACCTGCAAAATGGATTAGTATTTTAGGAGTATGGTTTTGAACAACTTCATATAGTCTTCAAAGCGGTCATTTAGACTTGTCAAATAGAATATGGTGAATGCTTTTGCATAAATAACATAACATAACATCACGCCTTTTATCCCCGAAAGGGTAGGCAGAGATGCAGATTATGCCACTGTACCTGTACAATGTAACACCCACTTTTTCACTATTTATGTTATGAGTCCCATGTAATAGGGGGTGAGCTTATTGCCATATACCGGGCAAAATGTCCAAACTTCGTGCTACTACTGCGATTGTTTTAAAAACCCAGTAATACTTTGCCCGACCCGGGAATCGAACCCGAGACCCGTTGCCCGGCAGTCGCATTTGCGACCACTCGGCCAACGAGGCAGCAGTTGCATAAATATTATTGTGTATACTGTGGCAATTTTCCAGAGATTGATTTTGATGATAATGCTGAAGAGGTTACATAAGAAATGAATTGTAGCATTTTAATCTCCTGTTTGTCAGTTTTGAGTGTGTAATAATTTCATTTATGGATATTAGTATTGTTAAGATTTTACCTGGAACTCCCTGTTGTACAGCTCGTAACAATTCTCAAATAGAAACTGATATGTTGATCTAAGGCATGCCTTCACACAGTCTTTGACCACAGTGCTGGCGCGGGGCGGACTACTTAGCTCCTGAACCTATAAAACAAGAAAATATGTACAATTTACGAGTTCCAAAGAATGAATTCCGAAGTGCTGTTGTCAACCATTCTATAAAGGTCTTCTTTTTATTATTATGTTTCATTTCATTTATCTTTTAAGCTGTTTTACAATAACTTTCGTGAGAGATACTAAATTAACTAAAAATTGCGGGTTACTCGCGTGAATAGTCAGTAGACTGCGCGATATCGCTGCGACCGCGCATGCTGCTCATGAGGAAGAACCCCTCTGTGGTTCGAAACTAGTAGAGGTTTTCTCAGTGTTTTCACTTAAGTAATACGCGATTTTTAGATAACTTCTGAGTTGGATCAAGCGTCAGATTTTTTTAGTTAAAAGTTGGTCAGTAATCTACTTGCTTATAAATTTATTAATCTCCTATTATTATTAAAATCATGACTTACCTTCATTCTAAAGAACGTGATGCTGGTCAGTAAGTCCACTGTAGACTTCAGATCCATGAGCTTCTCTGCACTCGACGCCGGGAAGTTGTTCCTATACATCGACAGGTCGATCCTCAAAGAGTTGTGTAGTTGATCCAGCAATTTCACGAACTTCTCTTTCTGTTGACAAATGCAGAATATCATTTGTAAGAATGAAGCTCAATTATTTCTACTGCTAATAAAATAAAATAATTCAATTATTATTTCATTGTATTAAAATTTTACAGCGATTACAGTTTGCTCTTTTAATTAATTTTAAATACTTTATTTAAGGTCTTAAAATCATTTTAAGTTTTTTGATCACCGTTTTGATTGTAATTTCACAGATACCTGCGATTTTTTTACGGGGGAAACTTATATAGTCCCTCCGATAACTTTAAAATTTTCAATTTGAACTGCTACAAATGTAATTTGTACTTACTCCAAAGTTAGAGGCTGCAAATCGGTCCGATGCTGACACTGCAGATGACGCGGTGGTGTGAGCGTAGTAGGCGTTGATGTTGGCCAACAACGTAGACATGACTGCTGGTACTCCAGCACACAAGTACTTCGTCGAAAGGCAGTGGAAATGGCTAGCAAGAAAAAACAATACCAATTAGTTCAAATTCTCGTCCCTTAAACTGTCAAACACCGCGAGGACCGCAACCTATTGTTCTTTAATTGTGTCTATAATGATGGTACTCAAAGGGTTAATGCAGTAATAAGAAAAAGGACGTAACTGATGTTAAGATTTTGTTTTTAATAGTTTATACAGGTATACCATATATTTAGGATTTTTTTATTTTATAATCTCAGTTGCTTTTGTAATACTATGAAATTTGAAATAAAAATAAATCGAAAGATTGAGTTGTGCTTGTTGTAAACTGAACAGTGAACAACTACTTTTCTAGTTATTGTTAATGTCACATTATGTGCCTGTATAAAAAATTAGAAAAATTGGTGTTTGTTACACGTAACAAATTAAAACTCACGTCATGGCCTGATAGATGGCTTCAATTCCATATCTCATAGCGAATTCATCGACAATTTCTTCAGGGATCTCATTGAAGTAGACCTTCCAAGCGTCGTCGCCTCTCGCAGCTGGTAACGTCACCGCACCATTGTTCTCTTCACACAGATAGTGGAACAGGTTCTCGTGAAGACACGTGTACTGCAAAGAGAAAAAGATGAATATTAAAAATATGGAACGATACATTGCTTTGGCTTTAATATTTTTTTAACACTTATATTCACTTATAAATAATCCAGGTATGAACAAAAGTCATGATATAGTGTGATAAGTTGAAAAAAAAATTCTTAGTGGTCCTTTATACTTCCTAAGAAACTTGGAGCACAGGTTTTATTACTAGCAATGGATAAATTCTGCTCAGTCGATATTGCTTGTATGCCATCTAGAAAGTTCTGTAGAGCCATTGCAACCTCTACGCTGTAGATATCTATCTATTGAGTTATTTTCACAAGAATTTTTAATAGGAAAATACTCGTTTAAAATGTTAATATATTTTTGCGATGCAAACAAATTGAGTTCAAAAATTAACAATATCATCGGTATTTCAATAAATTTGATCTAATGCGTATAAATGCTTAGCAGTGATTTCTAGTAAGTATCCAGTATTTATTTATTATGGGATTGTTCATACAACATACAAAATAACACATACTTTTACTATTAACAGAGTTATCTCAGTTCACACAAATCACGTTCCGATGTCAAACGCTCCACAAAAAGTCAGATTTTCAATCTCATTTCCAAAATTGACCGCTACACCATAACGTATTCGCAAAGGACTAAAAGTTACAGATTAAAAAACTTGTGTAACAAAAAGTTAGTAGCACGTTTATTTTCAATTCGATTTTGTGTTTCTAAAACAAAATCGAATCCGTAGGGAAATCGCAGTGCTGACCGAAAATAAATTGAATTTTCACTGTTGTCTGACCTGGTCTGACAGTGAGGAATATATGAATGAATATTCTGTGGATTGTAGTAGTAGTTGTGTATCTATCGACATAGCCTGCTGAAATTCGAAAAATAATTTCTATGCCATACAAAATGTTTTCACATTTCCTTTATAATACCGTGTTTGGTTAAATCGTTAATTATTTCTTTATTTAAAAAATTGGTCATAACAGAACATGATTGCGCAGATCATAAGAACTCAAGAATTCGTGATCACACACACATCTATAAATCACAATATGAGCTCAATAGAAGTTCGCGCGATGCTATCGCGCGGTGCAGAGGCCTCGTTGATCGAGATGTTGCAAGCGCATTTACCGAACACAGATTCAAGATAATGAAATAAGGCAATATTATATTGAGTATGCACACTCTGTTTACTTGTTAATTATGCTACTTTTGTCGATTTGAGATTCGAATTTGAGGATTCACGCTTCGTAGTTGCACTTAGGACCTCTCAATCAACAAAGCATATACCCGGACTAGCAAGTCGGTCGCAGGCGGCACGCGAGCGGTTAATTCAATAAAGTATATAGACGTGATTTTTTTTAATAAAAATGTACCTTTTTTGCAAAGAAACAGCTCATAATACGCCTCAACCATCGACCAAGAGAAGACTCTTGATACAAAGTCTAACCAATATTGTGATAACAAAGCGAAATATTGGCTTCGACCATCGTCCGATAGCGATATTTATGCATACTTTTATTACAACTGCGAATGTAAAAGCCAGGGTAATTTTCAACCATCGTATTAGGGTTTCCATGGTTCAACAGGTTCCCTTAACCTTTATGCCCGACTAGTATGCACCGGAACTCGGTAATTAGGAGTCGCGTACGCGGTAACCAGCGTCGCGCAGCCAACTGCTCGTTGCTATCTGCGCGTCTAGCCCGCCTTTTATGGCGCCGGTCGCAGGTGCGCAGAAAACCGTTATCGATGCATCCAAAACAAGTGCAACAGGATAATTTGATTTATTTTGACACGTGTCCCTTTGTAGGTCTTTCGGTCCCTTTCCATAGTTATTTTAATAACTTTGAAAGGTTCGTGGCTGGTGTAGTCGAGAGGCGACATAGAACGTGTCAGTGGGTTCAATGTTTTTGGTTTAGGTGTTATGTGTGAAATTATAACAAATAATATGTCAAAGTTTCCGAGAAACTCCATGTATGTAATATACTTTTCAATCAATTTTATTATTTAAGGTTGTAACCTTATTATAATATTTAATACACCAATGCTATAAAGCGAACAAATAAAGATATTGTATAAAGGGTGCGCATGCGACTACCCCGTCCCGATCCCAGTCAGTTCAGTCATTCGTTATAATAGTCACACACGAAAATGTTGGCACCGAGAGTTGCTCGCATCTTGGAACTTTCCCGCGCTCCTCGTTTTTACAATAGTGCTTGTTAACCTGATTAATTTTTCCAATGTGTTTAACACAACATACATTATTAATAAACCTGTGTCAAAACTTACCCCCCTTGGGAAACTGTATGTACATAACTTCACGCCTGTTTCCCATGGGGGTAGGCAGATACTATAGAACGCCAATTGCTACTATTCCTATATACTCTTCCTCTCTTTCGCTTTATCAACAGTTATCAATCTTTTCATGCATGCTCGTCGTTTAAGGGTGCTTTTAATTTGGCCCGTCTTTAATATATCGCCAATCTGGTCAGTATATTATATCCGTCTTGAGCGCCCTCTACCGACGGCCCCATTCATATTCGCTCTGTATACTTCTTTCGTTACTACTTCTTAATAATGTGTTTTACCATAATTTAGTTCCCAAACGACATGTTGAAGGATTAATACCAAATAGTGTCGGTATTTTGTAATATGTACGATTTTAATTTAAAAACAAGAGTCTTGCAGACAAGAACATAAATATCAGTATTTAATAGCACTTCATTCTTCAAACATTCTGTTAAAATCAAGATAACTTGTAAATTAGCCATATTACCTACATAATAACCATGAAACATGCATCCTTTTTGCAAGGACATTTCATCTTACTCTCAACGCCATAATATTTACTTGAAATTGAAAAATATGGAACTGACATTTTCCATATTTCCTTCCAGATTTCTGTAAAGTACAGATAGGTGTACCAGGACTCCATAATGGCGCGGAAGTGAAATGTTTTGACGTCCCAAAGTGGGAATGTTGTGGGCGAATTTGCGGCGATACCTTATCAGGCCGACGTTTGGGTCTGTTGCCCTAATCGTTCGTCGTTGGAAGGTTTCTGCTTTGAGTAGCGTAATGTGGTTGTGTTATTTATGTTTTGTTGTTATGTGGTTTCGTGTTATTTGAGTTGAAATTTTGTTGACATTACGGTTTACTGTGATATCACTATCTAGAGAATTTCGTTATCTAGGTTGTATTTTGGGTAATGTTTATAATTTGTTTTGTAGTTCAGCATTAGCTACAAACAAAACAAATCAACAAATAAATATTTTTATGTCTAATTCTTTAATTTTTTTGTTTTCCTTAAATGAGTTCATTTACAGATAGCTATTATTCTTAAGAATGTTAAATAAATAAAGGAAGGAGCGATTCAGGCCCAACATAAGTATTGGCTATTAACTTACTCAGACTACTTCAATGTCGGACATATTGGAATACTTGAGATAATAAACAATTTGAATTTGAATTAATGATAAAGCAATAAGAGTACTTTTCAAAAAGTGATAATCAGAAATGGACTAAATATTCATTTCTGAATTTAAAGTTGTACTTATAGCTGCACAAACAATGAGAAATAATAATTAATTTTTAGTTGAAAATTACTCCAAATTGATAGTAACACACAAAAATACCCTAAAATTCAGACCTCAAAACAAGACCTCGATCAAAAAACACCTCAAAAATGGTAGCACATACACTCATACATTTTCCGCGAAAAAAATATTTTAGTAGATATGAACACGTAGTTCCAACACTTAGCTCTGTGTAATATTTTGGTCTCGCATTTCTTGTCATTCGCTTGAATATGCAAATTTTCTTTATCTTAACCAATTCGTGTAATAGCCTGTATTAAGATAATCAAAGTTTAAGGCTGATGTTTACTACGGGTACTAAGTAGAGAAGTTAATAGGCGCATTATCGTTTACTCTTTGGTTAATGTTAATTTCGGCTTGGTTTTTGGCAGAATGGCCAGAAAAGTAGAAACTCATTGAGTAGGAGAGAATGAGAAGAATTTTTACATTAAAATTAAATACTTATAAAGTTTAATATAACACACTCATAATCTATCATCAACAGCCTACAAGTAGCCATCGCTGCCCAAAGGCCTTTTCTCGCATGGAGAAGGTTTAATTAATCACCATGCTTGTTCAATGAGCTTCGGCGATTATAAACTTATGATCAGAAATTAAAAGCCTGGGTTTCTACCTGGGTGTCTAGATAATCTTAGAAAATAGGTACGTACCTAAATAATGGTATTTATATAAGATTAACAGTATAACTTAATGGCGGAAGCTGTAGTGTTATACATATATGTTAATATTCTAAATAAATAAATACTCGGAAAAAGTTACATTCTCACAAAACTAAGACTTAGTAATTAAAATTTTTGTATCAAACTCATGTATTTACATTTCGATCCGCAATGAACATCAGCAATACAAATAAGAACAATTGTCCCTCACAAAGTTTTATTTTACTTCATATTATTATTATGAGAAGGTTAACCTTACTGTTATTACGTCATACAAAGTTACTAGGCTCACATACAACGTTAAGAGTGCTATAAACAGTATAAAAAAGCAATCAAATTACAACTCGGTCATTGACTTTAGCGAACTTCAATTAAATAGGAGTATTGAACTTGCTTTACTTAGAAGGAAGCATAAAAATATACTTTTACAAACTTTTCTCTTATAAAACATCTAATTTTATGGGTAAAGTTTTCGTTGTTAAAATGAATGTTGTTTAAAAATAATATTAGCAAATTGTTATGAAGTATTTTTGGGTAAATATAAATATTTAATTATTTATGTATTTATGTGTGTAGGTGGGTCTAATTAATTGATTCGTATGGATGTATGTATGTTAGTCTAACTTGTTAATCGAGTGGGCGCAAGTGTGGCTGTTCTCAAATAGAACTAAGTATTCTTAGGATTGCAATTTAAACGAAATCTTCCTTTCCGATCTGTCATTAATAACATTTACGATAATTGCAGTTTTGCTCT